GCAAAATTGTGAAGCAGGTCATCTGCCTTGAGATTACCCACCTACTTTCCAGTGCCTGCCTCTTCTATTCATCAATATCAACTCAACAACCCTCCTCGTGTGCCACTATAGCATAGTTAGGAAAGGTGATTCAAAAATCCATTCCTAGCCAAGATGGTGGAAGCTAGATCTGTTTACCATGACCCGGGGGGAAGAAGAGCATCTGGAAGAGAGCCGTCCAAGAAATGGATTCATAAAGACCATGTGCCTTCTTATACTAAACTCCTAATGTACTATATTGTCTTCTCTCCCAGTGGGTTATGAGCTCACCACTGGCAGGGCCCATGTTTAGTCTTTTTGTCATTTCTAGTATCCACAAGATGAAAAGTGGGGCTTCATTAATATTTAAATTGATGAGTGAATGAATGAATGAATGTTCTCTACACCAATTTCAGACAGAATATTATCTTCATAAAGGTATCCTCTTACTTCATGTTTTGCATCCACTCCTTACCGTCACTGCAGCATGAGTGCTCTACACAATCCATATCACTAAGTCACCCAAAACCCACTTTGGCTATTTTCCTGGCCCGGGAAAGAATATGTCAGGAATGTGAAAAGGATGTTTTCTATTATGTCTTCATTCGGAGTTTTTATCTTAGTTTCCTTTTGGATAGGAAATAGAGACTGTACACGAGTGTACATAATAGCCAAAAAAATGTTGTGAAGGAAACAAGCTGATATATTTGTGAGCCTCATGTCTTAATCTTTTTTCAGCTTTCTACTCATTTTTTTAATTTGACTTCTGTTTTTTGCCACATAGAGCAAAGGTTGGCAAATTATGGTCATTGAACCAAATACGACCTGGTCTGTTTTGCCAATAAAGTTTTATTGGGGGGAATCCCTGGGTGGCGCAGCGGCTTGGCGCCTGCCTTTGGCCCAGGGCGCGATCCTGGAGACCCGGGATCGAATCCCACATCGGGCTCCCGGTGCATGGAGCCTGCTTCTCCCTCTGCCTGTGTCTCTGCCTCTCTCTCTCTCTCTGTGACTATCAAAAAATAAATAAAATAAAAAATAAAATTAAAAAAAATAAAGTTTTATTGGAACACAGCCACTCCCATTTGTTTTCTCCCTATAGTAGCAAAGCTGGGTAGTTTTGATGGAGACCCTATCTATATGCTTTCGAAGCCCAAAATATTTACTATTTAGCCCTTTAAAAAATGTTTGCCAAACTCAATGTATAGTAAACACAGTGTCAAATGCCACATAGAATATAAGAATATTGATTTTTTTATTTCTTTGACCTTTTCAAGGAAGATTTCACACTGAAGTGTAATGCTTGTTGAGTGAAGGCCCAGGCAGCCTATGATCAAGTCCTAGTTCCATTTCTTGTAATCTTTTTGACCTCACACAGACGTCATGGGGATGTCTGCTCATACCTCTTCCAAGAGAACCTGCTACAGGGGGTATAGTTGGCTGGTAGCCTCCAGGATACTGCCTCTTCGTATCCAGCATGAAGCTGGTGCCGAGGGCACACTTCCCTCATGTTGCTCCCAGACAATAACTGTACATGATGAGGTTAATGGTGCCTGATCCAGGAATTTTCCAGGGAGCATGTTTACTTGGGGCACCCCACCCCATTGTCCTGGCAGAAATTTTCAGATCTATGCTGTAGTTTGAGTTCTTCCTACTTGGTCCTGCCAAGTCTTCCTACTTGGTCCTATCTAGCCCACCTCATGAGATGAAGATTCTCCATGCCTGCTTCTTCTCTTTCCTTATTATATTTCACAAGCATTTCCACAGTAAATTTCTTGCACATCTAAACTTATCTCAGTTTCTGCTTCTTGGAGAACTCAAACTGAAACATGATTCCTCTGGGCTTTGACTTCCTCATTGATAAAGTAAGGCCAGGAGTAGCTGGAGAACTCAGGTGATTAAGCATTTGACTCTTGATTTTGGCTCAGGTCATGATGTCAGGGTCATGGGGTCAAGCCTCATGTTGGGCTCTGCTCCATGTTTTGCTCTATGTGGCAAAAAACATGGAGCCTGCTTGAGATTCTCTTTCTCTTTTCCTATGCCCCTCCCCTTGCTCTCTCTCTCTCTCTCAAAAAAAAAAAAAAAGAAAAAGAAAGCTAAAAATGATAACTATACGACAGAATTTTTATAAAGATTAAGTAAATAATGCAGACAACATTTTTGGCACAATTTTGGTGCAGTTCTTGGCACCTCCCCCCCCCCCACACACACCTACTGCCATGGGCTTTGGGAGGGCCACCAGCCAGTTACTGCCTGTCCAGCCCCTCCTTCCCTCTTTTTCATCATGCAGTGACTGATCTCTGAATCTTGTGGACATGGACATTCTTTCTACTCTTCCAAACTCCTTTCAAGATTAACAATGAGTCTTTTCAGTGAGCATAGCACTTCAACACAACTGACATGCATGAAATGTTTTCTGGCTTATATGGTACACATGTCCATTAATCTGGTCTCAGATGCTTATGTGTCTAAACAAACAATAAATAGGAATGGAATTCAAAGAGGTTTCTCATCCCACCCACCATGTATATGTATGTGGCGGGTGAGGTGAGAAGCAGTAAAATTAACAACACAGAGGGTGGAGTAATTTAGGAACAAAAATGCAGTCCTGTCCCAGAACTCCTGGCAGTAAACTTTGATGACACATTTCCTGAGACCCATCAGAGGCACTCCCGAGCCTACCAAGGACAACCTTAAGCTTATAGTTTCAAACCGTGAAATCACATGCCCCCTTTACAGTTAATCACAGCAAAAAATGCTTGAAGCCTTGCCAAAGGGTGTTTGAATATCCCAGGCAAGTGAACAGACCGTTTGCTTTTCTCTACGCTGGGACAGTGATCATCTGGTGTGAGGTGGGGAAGCAGCCAGCCCCAGGAGTCTCTGCCCTCCCCCATATTCCCTCCCTCATACCCAGGTTGGAATATAACCCAAGGGTTATGTCTTGCTACCCTACCCTTTGCCTAAGGCAACTCAACAAGTTGGGGCAGTAACATTGTTGAGAATTATTTAAAAATCTGAAGAATAGAGACTTAGAAGTTAAAGGAAGTCATCAAAATGTCCCTCATGACATTTTTTTTTTTTTTTGCAGAAGAACTTATGTTATAGCCAGGCTTAAAGTATAGAACAGACATGCAAACTATATAATACATACTATATAAACTGGGATATTAAAATAAAATGCATTCTATGTTGCTAGCTGGCCTCCAAGCAAAAATGGAAATGGTTGGAATTAAGAATTTGTGTTTCCCCTCAACAGGTCAATATTTAATGGTAGACCTCATTTTTGGTAAAGGTGCTTCACTGGTCATTGATTTGTCAGAACTGCTTATTACATTTGTTTAAAATTCAAAAACTCTTTTAGAGTTTTGATTTAAAACAGATTATCCAGCTCTACCTCCCTCAGGACCCCCTTAGCCCTTATAACCCTCTGGGTCTCAGTTGGCTGAAAGGCCCTTGCATATACTCCTAAATATTCTGACTCCACCCTCTCATCTCTCACATGCCCTCCGTGAGTTCCGGGAGCAGCAATGGGCTTCCTCAAATGTGCCAGGCATCATTTACTTCTGGGTCTTCACATGGAAAGCTTTCTCTGCTGGAGAACCCTTTGTCTCCCCCATTCTTTTTTTTTTTTTAAATAAAAATGTGTGTTTTTTTTTTAAACAGGTCTATAAAAGTAGAAATCACATACAAAAATACAGATCACTCTGACATGTTAGCAAAATAGCTTATGGCTGGACTTGAGTTTGGAAGTACTATACATTTGAGGGCATCTGGAAATCACAGCCCAATTGGGTACTATCGCCAGCCCTTGTCACTAATCTGTAAACAATAATTTCATGTAGTATATGTAGCACTTTTTAATCAGTACAAAATCAAAACATAATTATTTCCCATATAAGACCACTTTATAATGTTCCTCCTTAGGTCTGGGCAGATAAGGGCACTTCAAATTGCTGTTTCTGACATTTGAAGAATCTGATTTAAAAACAATTAATAGAAATAACAGGTTTTTAGCTTTTTTGTTCATTTTGAACATATGGGAAGATCATCAATTTAAATTAAAAACTTAGTGTTTTGTTTTAAAGTAGAATTTAATCCTTTTTCTTCTAGAAATTATTAAAAAAAATCACTGTTGCTATCAAAAGATCCCCCCATTCTTTTTTGTACTCTTATCCCCACACCCTCCACCATCTTTGCCTGAATAACATTTCCTTATTTCCTTGTCCTTCCTGATTCCATTCAGTTATCACTTTCCTTGAGCAGCTTTTTTGAGGCTCTAGCATGAACCAGAGAATTTGCTTGGTCAGGGAACTATGGCCAAATCCTGCACACCACTTGTTTTTGTAAGGAAAGTCTTACTGGAGCACCGCTATCACCATCAGTTTATGTATTGTTTATTTCTGCTTTTTTGCTCCAGTGACAGAGTTGAATAGTTAGACAGAGACCATATGGTGAGTAAAGCTGAAATATTCATTCTCTGGCCCTTTACAGAAAATGGTTGCCAGCCTGTAGTTCATCACTTTTGGAATCGAGGTGTCTTTGAGTTTAGAAACATGATACGCACAAATATAAATCTGTAATGGAGATTAAGAGGTGATGATTTGGGCCATTAAAATTTTTACTTTGCATGTTTTTTTAAAATAAAAAGACCACTACTATAAAATATGACTTACAAGAAATCAACTTACAATGAATATCTCAGGGAAGTATCTGTTTTATAGGATCAGCTATATCCTGAATGAAAGAAGAGGTGGCCTCCAGCTTTTATTGCTCTAGGAAACTGTCTTTTCTATTAAGTTGGGAATATCTGGAGGGAATTTAAAGTCGTGCAAATATACATTCTTATTGTGATAAAACATACATAACAGTATAAAATCTGCCATTTTAACTATATTTAAATGTACATTTCAGTGACATTATGTTCACGTCTTTGTGCAGATATCACCACTAACTATCAATTTTCATAACTTTCTTCTTCCTTCAAGCCTGGAACTCCCTACTCATGAACCCTGGCAACCATCATCCCTACTTTTTGCTTCTATGAATGGACTACTCCAGGTACTTCATGTAAGTAGATTTATGTAGTATTTTTCCTTTTATGACTGGCTTATTTCATTTAGCATAACATCCTTAAGTTTCATCCATGTCATAAAATATGATAGAAGTGCCTCCCATTTTTAGGTTGAATAATATTCCATCATCTTACCCCATTTTGCCTATCCTTTCACCTACTGATGAACATTTTGATTGCTTCTACCCTGACAATTCGTTATCCTAGTGGGTATGAAGTGGTGTATTATTATGGTTTTGGAATGCATTTTCCTAATGATCAGTAATGTTGAGCACCTTTTCCTATGTTTATGGGTCACTTGTTTATCTTTTTTGGGCAAATGTTTATTCAGAGTCCTTTGTCCATTTTTTACCTGAGTTGTTATTGTTGTTGAGTCATGAAGTTTTTTATATATTCTTTTTATTTTATTTTTTAATAATATATATATTTTTATTGAAGTTCGATTTGCCAACATATAGTATAAACCCAGTGTTCATCCCGCCAAGTGCCCCCCTCAGTGCCCATCACCCAGTCACCCCATCCCCCCCGTATATATTCTGGATAACAGCCCATTATCAGATATATGACTTGCAAATATTTTGTCCTATTCTGAGGGTTGCCCTTTCATTCTGTGGATAGTCTCCATTGATGCACAGAAGGTTTTAATTTTGATGTAGTCCAATTTATTTATTTTTCTTTTGTAGCCTGAACTTTTGGTGTCATATCCAAGAAATAATTGCAAATCCAGTATCATAAAGCTTTCTCCTAATATTTCTTTGCAAGAATTTATAGGTTGTGCTCTTAGGTCTTTGATCTACTTTGAGTTAATTTTTGTATGTAGTTTATGGTAAGGGTCCAACTATTCTTTTGCAAGTGGATAATCTAGTTTTCCCACACAATTTGTTGAAAAGACTCATTTTCTCATTGAATGTCAAGACTGTCTTGGCATCTTTGTCAAAAATCATTTGACCATATATGTGAGGATTTATTTCTGGGCTCTGTGTTCAATTCCATTGATCCATATGGCTGTCTTTATGCCAATACCACATTGTTTTTTCTTATTTTAGTTTATAACAAGTTTTGAAATCAGGAAGTGTGAGACCTCCAATTCGGTTCTTCTTTTTAAAATTTGTTTAGGCTATTCAGGATCTCTTGATTTTCCTTATGAATTTTAGGATGGATTTTTTTATTTCTGTAAAGAATATTTTTGGGTCAAAAATACTTTTCTGAAAGCCTATCTACTATATGAACCAAAATCTTTTCTCCTATTCTTCCCACTGCTGTGACTTGAGTGGTTTGTTGTTGTTGTTGTTGTTGTTGTTGTTACTATTGTTGTTTTTGTTGTTGTTCTGCTTCTTTTTCACTCTACCAAAGTAAAGACCTTTTAAATTTTATTTGTTGATAGTGTATTATCTGTGCCTTGTCTTGTCTAAATTAGAGGGTTGCACATCAGACATAAGGTCAGCATCACTTACCTTGAGCAGTTACTTCTCAGTTGGGTCAATATCATTCTTTGGAAGTTTTTGCCTTCTCTTTGTGCAGAGAGACCATAAGCCTTAGGCATCCCACATTTCTGTGTACTGTTGGATGGGTCATGAGAAACTCTCACTCATGGCTGATATAAACATGGTCATATGGCTAATAATGCTTGTGTGTAGCTGGTAGGAGCGCAGCTGGAAAACATAAAGATTCAGCCTTTCTCTGCCAACTGGATTTTAATGACCAAACCACAGAGGTTTGGACTATTTAAATAAAATAGGACAAATGGAAGAAAAATCTAATATTCCTACAAAAAAAAAAAAACAAACCTAACTGAAAAAACAAAACAAAAAACAACAAAAGCCCCCAACTCATGTGATTTGTAATCTGTAGGACTGTAAAACCAGTGTTATATTTGAGAGGAAAGAAAGTGGAAAGTTTTCTTGGATACGCACAGCAGCCACTATTGGAGTTTCAGTATTTGACCCAATAAACTGCATTATTAAAAATTTGCAGGCAGAAATCTCTTCCTTTTTCCTTTCGGAGGTTTGGTTTGGTTTTATTTTTTTAGCTGCCTTCCAAAAGGAATTCCAGAGTTTTTTGACAATTTTATCATTTCTGACTTAAGCCTGTTGCAAATCTCTTTGAAACAACTAGGCCCAAGGGTGGCTCAGGCAGCTGCCTGAATTCCACGCAAATGTAAAAAGTCTCTTCCATTTTAAGTGCTATACTTTGCCGTAATAGAATCCAGATGCTTAAACCATTCAAAGATTACCTTTTACAGTGTGAACAGAAGCATGAATGTAAGTGTTATGTTAGAATGTAGTTAGATTCCAATTGTTACTAAGCTTTCTGAGTGTAACTTCTGAGGGAGAGTTGAGGCAGAGAAGCCTACATAAAAGGGGACTGAAAAGGTGGACCCAGTAATGTCTTATCATGCAATCACTAGAGAGTCATAATTAGATTAAGCTGCTGCACAGTGTACGTAATTAACAGCAAGAGAGACCAGGAGACTCCTTCTGAGAGTGCTAAAATAACTCAGCAAGCAGGAGCCAGGTTTCTCCTCCGGTGGAATTCATGTAATTCCCACTACGGGGTGAAACCGAGTCCCCACAACTCAAGATGCTGTCAGCTACTGTAACTTATCTTTACTTCCCAGTAGAGTGATGAGGGAGATTTCCTGTTGTTTCTTAAATGTCCTACCTGGAGTGCAGGTAAGCTCTCAAAGTCTTGCACCCTACCATTTAATTTATTGTGGATACGCTGGCACATACCCTGTTTTCATATCCATGTTCAGTGATGTCTGTGCACACACACTAATGTTTACCAATACCAACTGTTATATCAGAATGACTCATTTTTTTTCAGCCATAAGAATGCCTGATGGTTAAACAGCTGACTAACCCAAAGCATAGCCAGTGTAAATATTTGCATGACATAAATTGTCTAGTGACTTTTGCCTTTAGGACAAGCAAGGGCAGTTTGCAAATTCTCAGTGACCAGTCTGTGAATGGTAGAGCTAATTATTTTTCTGAAAAAAAAAATGGGTAGAAATAATTTTTGCTATTTTGTATTTGCGGGCTTCATCAAAGGGCATTTACTATGCAACCACTGGATATCTCAGAATTGAGAGTTCATATTCAAAACCAAAGATGAAGAATCCTGCTAATGGTCAAAAAAGCTAAGAGATTTCTGTTGACATCCCAATGGCTTCACCTGGGGATCTAGGTTTCCTTATTTGGAATGTGAGGAGTTTGGACAAATTTCTAAGTTCTCCTCTGCTTCTAATATTTTATGTTTCTAAAAATCCTCAAATAAGGACAGACTCTGAATAGGAAGTGTTTCTCATATAAATATGATTACAAAAGTTCCCTGCCCCAGAACCTTTATGCTCTTATCATTTCACGCATTGTGTTGTCTGAGATTTGGTCAGGAGAGTAGTCCTTTGGGATAAAACAGAAGTTTTATCTGCGTCTTCTGCATCTTCAGAAGTTTTGATTGGAAAGGCAGTTGTGCTAGTAGGTGGGGTAGTACTGAGTTATTATTTCCCACTAATTTATTAACATGGATTTGGATCCTCAGAGACTGGAACTAAGGAACCATGTGTAGTGATATTCAAAGGAAAGGAGTATTGATGGAAAGACCAGATAGTTGGCTTCAGACAGAGAGGTGGAGAAATCTGAGAAAATGAGAGTATATTAAAATTATTTATTATTATTATTGAGGCATTCTTTGTGAATTAAATAGTATTCATCCAAAGGCACAAAAAATTACTGATAGAATGTTTTTCATTAGTCAATGACTTTGTTTCGTTCTCAGGAAAAGCAGTAGAAATTTGCATCCCTCATGCCTCTAGGAGGACAGTCCTCCATTCCATGTGAAGATTTCCATACTGTTGGAGGAAGGTTACTCTTTTTTTTTTTTTAAGGTTACTCTTTCTTAAGGGACACCAAAGATAAGTGCTTGGTGGAAGCCAAAACATGGTAAGGAGACAAACAGTAGGGTTCATGAACCCTGCCCTTTTTTTGGTGCTCTTGTGCTGTGGTGCAAGGTAAAGCTTACCTGCAGTTCATTGCTGCAAGAAAGGCAGAAGTAAGGAAACACATATTAGTTGACCAATACCTTTCTGACCATAGCTATTCTAAACGTTTTTGCAGTATGTATTTAAGGTCCAGAGAAATTAACTAATCTTCCTAAGGTTGTAGAGTCACGAATGGATAGAACCATTAATTGACCATGCTAATACTTATGCATTATGAAAGTATGATTGTATGGGAAGGAATTGCCTTCTATACTTCTTCTCATTACTACAAGCCTGAGAGAGAGGCCAGGAAGTTAGAGTGGACAATTATCTTAGGTGAATCCTAATTTTTTGGCCCTTTATTTAGGATGCTTGGAAAAGTTAGCAAGGACATCTTTCATTAGTGAAGATGTCCTATATAACACAGATCTAAGAGGCTGTTCACTTTCTCAGCAGTGTGGTGCCAGCTCAAGGCTCTTCACAATTTGGTCCCAAAGCAATTTCCAAATCTCATTTCCAGGTTTCCCTCTCCTGTACTGCTTGGTGGTGCTTGGTATTTTTAGGCTTCCTTATGTGATTGAGACAAAAGGGTTGAATTCGTGAGAGTCTGCAGACTTCCTGCAGATAAGAAACTTAATATCATTCCCTTCCCCCAATTTCGGAGAATTATTCTGTTTCTGAATGTTTAGAATGCAGAATTGGGAAATAGGGCAACAAACAAGTGCATCAAAGTGGATGGAGGAAAGGGGGATGAAGAGAAAGGTCCAAGTCACCTGAATCAGGTGTCAGGAGAGAAGGAACAAGAGTTAAAGAGGGTCAGCATTTATAAGGCTTGAAGTGAGACAGGATGTTTCAAGGAAAGGGAACAGTGTGAATGGGGTGGGATGTGTGGGAGAGAAAGAATTCTTTTCAGGTAGGAGAATGGGAGCCTCCTCAAGTAGTAAGAAGCTGAATGAAGAACTGGGCAATCTGGCAGGTCTTGACAAGAGTTGCTAGGGACAAGCACTTAGAGCTCCT